GAAAAGTGTTGCTGAGGTTCTGTTCTGTGTGTTTGTGTTCTGCAGAGTTCTATCCGAGACAAAGTGGAACCTTTGGTGTTCTCTCTGAATGTTTCGCTGTACGAGAAGCTTCCCAAGAAAAGAAACGGTGTACAGGACCTGAAACGCTTCCCTGTGCTGAACCAGACACCCCGGCCCATCAAAAGCCAGGTCAGAACCCGTAGAACCATCAGAACCAATTAAAACCTTTTAAAAACCCAGCAGAACCCCTCACAAACCTGTTAAAAACCTAATGAAAAACATCAGAACCTATTGATCAGAAAACATAGGTCCTATTAAAAACCTACCAGAACCCAGGTCAAAACCTAGAAGTCTGGTCAGAAACTGGTTCACAAATGAGAAGGAACCAACAGAGAATCTTGGTTGCATCCATGTGAGGACCCTTCAGAAACCAGATGATAATCCTAACCCATCAGAACCCATTAGAACCCACAACAGAACCGATCAAGGTCAGACAGAAACAGAACCCAGAGAAAACAGTAGAACCCAGGTTAGAAGGAAGAACTCAGAGAACTGTTTTTAGTGTCTTTCACTGATGTTGGAATCCTTCATCCTTCAGATTCACATCCAGAAGGCCTGTGGTTCTGATAACCGTTGCCATAGTAACCTGCAGATGACGGCCCAGTTCACAGATGAGAACCAGAGACCCTTCCCCACGTGAGTCAACACACAATTGATCATTTATATGGATCATATCAAAATAATGTGATTGTTGCTGAGAGCAGAACAAAAGAGCATAAATCAGTTCCTCCAGGAAGTGTTCGCAACAACACACATTCAACCAATCTGTTCATTCTGCGTGGCCTTGCAGTTTTGTTCAATCATGCAACTTTTCCACAGATTTGAACCCTGCTCATATGTTGAGCCGTACGCCACCAAATTACCAGAGATTTAACTTTTATGCTGAGCAGCTATCTTGGATTATCTTGGTCGGGGCTGGTGAGGTTTTTCCGACTTTCCTAGTTGGAAATCCGACTTCAGGGTATTTTAGTTGAGTTTCGACTGAAAAGGCTACTGAGTTCAAATGCAGTATTAAACCATTACAATCTTTGTAACACGTTTTATTCAATTTTCTTCTCTCGAAAATTTAATTACAAAAATATGTAAAAAAAATAATCCCATCTTAACATGTTTTGCAATGTTTTAGAAGAGCTGTTCTGAAATCAGGAATTTTAGGCCGCAATAATCCTGATTGACTGACTGATGGTCCAAATCTCCAATCAAGGCGCATGTCCTTTGAGACGAGTCAGTGTTTTGTCTCACTTTCTTCAGTGTCAGTTAAGGTGACCAGATTCCAACAAACCATGTGTGGGACAACAAGTTTGTTTGTGTGATGTGCGACATGTCAGCAGTGTGTTAGGTAGTCTAGCAGTTTGATATAATGTCGATCTAACTTAAAACATTTGCCTTCAGCAGCACACAATAGACTATGCAGGTTACAGATTACCTTCAGCATGTATTTAATATATTTTATTTCAATGTAACGTTCCCAACTCGCATGCAAATTAGGACTTAATACAGTAGACTGAGCATAAAATGAAGCTAAAGATGTCCATTTATAGTTCCCCAGTCTTTATCGTTGCTGTATTTCTATTTTCTTTGTGGTAGTTTCCATGATATTCAGCCTAAATTTGCAGAGTTGGTGACATTGTGGTGAATTTTTATGTTTGGAGTAGCATGGCAAAGACGGTGAGAGGTAAGCCTGCTTTTGTTCGTCATCAAACACAAACAAATTGCAAGTTTGCACAGAATTCAGGGATTGGTTGAATTTGTATTGTGACCGTAACTTCCTGGAAGGACTGATTGAAAGGATGACAAACCTCTCTGACAGTCAGTTGGTCCCAGCTGACCTCAGACTGTTGCTATCAATTCAATTCAATTCAATTCAATTTTATTTGTATAGCGCCAATTCATAACAGAAATTATCTCAGGACACTTTTCAAATAGAGCAGGTCTAGACCGAACTCTTTAACATTAATTACAGAGACCCAACAGTATCATGTTGTGATTTATTATGTTTTCGTTTGTATGTTTCTGTTTTTCCAGGCAGAAGGACAAACAGGTGTTGTACTACAACAGTAACATTAACCGATTGTTTCTGGAGGTTAACGTCAGCAATGCAGCATCACTGGGCCAACCGGCAGAGGATGCTCACAATGCCGTTTTGAACATTAGCACCCCCCCATTGCTCATATACTCCGGCGTCCGAACTAATGTAGTGAAGGTAAGTTATTTTAGCTGGTAGAGAACAAAGACAGTGATCATGTAGAGCAGAGTATCATCTGCATACAAGTGGATATTAACTGAAGCTGTGAATTACTGAAACTGTATGTAGTGAACAGTGGTGGACTGAGCCTTGAGGGACACCAGTTACAGTATACATACTGAAGACTAGAAGGGTGTATTGTTGAGAGACCTTGGGGTAGAGGACTGCATTGGGATTGGGGTCCAAGCGAACTGTCAAAAAATAAACTGAATGATCGATTTTTGCCTGTGTTCCATCAAAGAGGTGCACGTGGTGCAAAACAGTTCACCTTTTATACAGATCACCAGGTAATCACCTTGTCCCGTCTTTAACAGTAATCTTTGTGGGTAAATGTTCGTGTCACACGTCTGCTTCTTCACAACCAAAACAAGAAAGTGAGTTTGGTGACGTATGACTCAGTGTTTTAATTGTTGCGATGGCAACATCGCAACTTCCTGTAGGGACTGAGGGACTTGACTGATTGACTTGAGACATTCCATAAAGGATCAGGGACTTGATGTAGACCAGTTAGTCCTACAGTCAGTCCTGTTTGTTTGTGTTTCAGGGTGACGTCAAGGCGAAGGTGGAGTGTTCTGTTGTGGGCGCTGTTGTTCTGTGTGAGCTGGGGAACCCGTTCAAAAGCAACCAGGAGGTATAGAACGTTCTCGACAATGTATTACTGCCAGCACTATAGTACTGCAGTACTATTATCTGTATGACTGTCTGTACTGCAGTACTATTGTCTGTATAACTGTCTGCATTGCAGTACTATTGTCTGTATAACTGTCTGCACTGTAGTACTATTGTCTGTATTACTGTCTGTACTGCAGTACTCCTGCTGAGACTCTAACCGATTGGTCTCCTTCTGTTTCAGGTACACGTGTTGATCATATTTCAGCCTTCTGAGATCACTTTAGACACGAAAGAGATCGAGTCTGTGCTGCAGCTGTCCACGTAGGACACACACACACACACACACACACACACACACACACACACCTGTTTGAATGTCTTTTGGTACTGAGTCATACTGAATCATACCGAGTCATATTGAGTCATACTGAGTCATACTGACTCGTACTGAGCCCTGTTGAGTCGTGTCTCTATGTGTTTTCAGACTCAGTGATCAATCAGGTCTGTTTCCTGTCTCCGTCTCCATGTTGGTGGAGTATTCACTGCAGGCGTCTCTCACTCTGTAAGTAACACACAGTACAAGAGGTGGTTTAATGTTGACCTCTGACTTTAGACCTCACTTCTTATTAGTTAATTGTGTTCTGACAGCATCAAACCACCAGGCCACACCTCCTTCAGTGGTCAAGTGATGGGTGAGTCGGCCATGAAGAAGACAGAGGACATCGGAAATCTGCTGCTCTTCACCTTCCAGGTTTGTCTGAAATCAGTCCGATTGTTCATGGTGTAAACAGACCAGGTGTTAACCCTTCCACCTTCTTCGACAGGTGTACATCAAAGGGAAGCCACTGGGTGGCCTAGGCAACCTTCAGGTTGAGTTTGATTGGCCGAGAGAGGTGTCCAATGGGAAGTGGCTGCTGTACATCACAGAGATCCAAGTCAATGGCACATCAGAGCCTCACTGTGAGCCGCCCGGCAACATCATCAACCCCCTCAATCTCATGGTAACCATGGCAACATCAGCCACACATTGACTCCTTTCAAAATAAAAGTGCTGTGCTGGCACATTTCAGAGTAGAGGCAGATCCAGTCAAAATCTTTAGCGTGCCTGTTTTATGTTTTTAGTTTTCCATTTCATTGCCGTTATTCTTCATCATAGGCATCGCCCAAAACAGTGACATGATGTACACGAGATTGAATACTGTAAAATAAAAAACAATTATATTTAAAATACCTTTTTATATCTGTAATGTTCCTATGACATGACGGACTCTGCTGCCTCATAGCGCTCACCATTTGTTAGTATACATAAGTGAGTATTACAGAGCCTGTTAGCTGGGGAAGCTAACATTACTGCCCACTGCTGTTTTTCACCACAAATAAATTAGATTTTGAATGACCTGATCCATTCCTGTTTGCTCAGCTGTCAAAGGAGAAGAAGAAAAAGAGGAGGAGGAGTCTGGAAGAGGCAAATGAGACAGAGGAGGAGCAGAGAGATAAAACTTTACCTGTCCTCCACCTGCAGGGACAGAAGAAGAAGTCCTACACTCTGGTACGAGCATACTAATTTCTGTTGTGTTGCTCCTCTTATTGTTGCAGCTGCCACAGGGGGGCGCTCTGATGAATGAACAAAGGATCAAAGAGGACACTTTAAGAAAGTTAGGACATCTTGTTGTCCTAATAACTTCAAAGAGCTGTTTGAGGATTTGGACTGAATTGTAGGGGCTGGGATTCAGCTCCTGGTCAGGGTCTGGGGTCTGGTCCATTTTGGGAATTCAATTCAATTCAATTCAATTTTATTTGTATAGCGCCAATTCATAACAGAAGTTATCTCAGGACACTTTTCAAATAGAGCAGGTCTAGACCGAACTCTTTAAAACATTATTTACAGAGACCCAACAGTACCACCATGAGCAAGAACTTGGCGACAAGGGCAAGGAAAAACTGCCTGTTAAAAGGCAGAAACCTAGGACAGATCCTCCGGCTCTAGGTGGGTGGTCGTCTGTCTCGACCAGTTGGGGTGAGAGAGAGAGAGAGAGAGAGAGGCAGAGAGAGAGAGAGTGAGAGACAGACAGACAGGTGCACAGCAACAACAGTATTGGCAATGGCAATCTAGCAGGACCATGGCAGGAGGCTCCACCAGGATTGACAAGAACCTGCGAGACGAGAAAGCACAAGAACTCCGGAGAAGAAGTGAAGTTAATAACATGCATTAATGGGACATGAATGAGTGCAGAAAGAGAGAGGAAGGGAGGAGCTCAGTGCACCATGGGAAATCCCCCGATAGTCTAGGCCTATAGCAGCATAACTAAGGGATGGTTCAGGACTCACCTGATCCAGCCCTAACTATAAGCTTTATCAAAGAGGAATGTCTTAAGCCTACTCTTGAATGTGGTGAGGGTGTCTGCCTCCCGAACCACAAATGGAAGCTGGTTCCACAAGAGAGGAGCTTGGTAACTGAAGGTTCTGGCTCCTGTTCTACTTTTAGAGACTATAGGAACCACAAGTAGCCCAGCATTCAGAGAACGTAGTGTTCTAGAGGGGTAATAGGGTACTATGAGCTCTTTAAGATATGAAGGGGCCTGACCATGAAGAGCTTTATAGGTGAGGAGGAGGATTTTAAATTCTATTCTACATTTTACGGGGAGCCAGTGCAGAGAAGCTAGTACAGGAGAGATGTGATCTCTTTTTCTAGTTCCTGTCAGTACTCGTGCTGCAGCGTTCTGAATTAATTGGAGCGTTTTAATGGACTTATTGGGGCAACCTGATAATAAAGAGTTGCAGTAATCCAGCCTTGAAGTAACAAATGCATGGAATGGTTTTTCTGCATCTGTCTGTGATAGGATGTGTCTAATTTTTCTAATATTACGTAAATGAAAGAAGGCAGTCCTAGAGGTCTGCTTTATGTGGGAGTTAAATGACAAATCCTGATCAAAGATAACTCCAAGATTCCTGACAGTGGTGCTAGAGGCCAAGTTAATGCCATCTAGAGTAACTATATCTTTAGACAGTGAGTCTCTAAGGTTTTTGGGGCCAAGAACAAGAATTTCGGTTTTTTCTGAGTTTAACATCAGAAAATTGCAGGTCATCCAGGATTTTGTGTCCTTAAGACATGTTTGTAATTTAGATAATTGATTAATTTCATTGGGTTTGATTGATAGATATAACTGCGTATCATCTGCATAACAGTGAAAGTTAATGGAGTGATTCCTAATAATGTTGCCTAAAGGGACCATATATAAAGTAAATAGTATTGGTCCAAGTACAGAACCTTGTGGAACTCCATGACTAACTTTAGTATTTATGGAGGATTCATCGTTAACATGTACAAACTGAGAACGATCTGATAAGTATGACTTAAACCAGCTTAGGGCAGTTCCTTTAATGCCAATTTGATGCTCAAGTCTCTGTAAAAGAATATCATGGTCAATGGTGTCAAATGCAGCACTAAGATCTAATAATACAAGTACAGAGACAAGTCCATTGTCAGAAGCAGTCAGAAGGTCATTATTAACTTTAACCAGAGCTGTCTCTGTGCTATGATGAACTCTAAATCCTGACTGAAAATCCTCAAATAAACTATTGTTATGTAGAAAGTCACACAACTCTTTGGCGACTACTTTCTCCAGAATCTTAGAGAGGAAGGGGAGGTTAGAAATCGGTCTATAGTTGGCTAAAACCCCTGGGTCAAGAGTGGACTTTTTAAGAAGGGGTTTAATTACAGCTACTTTAAAGGACTGTGGTACATATCCTGATAATAAAGAAAGATTAATCATATCCAGTAAAGAAGTGCCAATTAAGGGGACAACTTCTTTAAGCAGCCTAGTTGGGATCGGGTCTAATAGACAGGTTGATGGCTTCGATGAAGAAATGATTGAAGTTAACTGATGAAGATCGATAGCAGAAAATCAGTCTAAATATATATCTAAGTTTACATTGACAGAAGTCCCTGAACTTGGAGAGCCACTGATAACTGTTGATGGCAGTTGGTGATTAATTTTTTCTCTAATAGTAATAATTTTATTATAGAAGAAGCTCATGAAGTCATTGCTACTTAAGTTTATGGGGATATGTGGCTCGATAGAGCTGTGACTCTCTGTCAGCCTGGCTACAGTGCTGAAGAGGAACCTAGGGTTGTTCTTATTTTCTTCTTTTAGTGCTGAGTAATAGGCTCCTCTGGCATTACGGAGGGCCTTTCTATAGGTTTTAAGATTATCTTGCCAAATTGAGCGATATTCTGATAATTTGGAAGAGCGCCATTTCCTTTCAGATTTCCTAGCTATTTGTTTTAACTGGCGGGTTTGGTGGTTATACCAAGGTGCTAGTCTCCTATGTTTTAATAATTTCCTTTTTATAGGAGCGATAGAGTCTAATGTTGATCGTAGTGAGCCTGTAGCACTATCGACAAGATTATCAATTTCAGAGGGACTAAAGTCGTTATAGGAGTCTGTTAAATTCAGACATGGCATTGAATTAAACACTGAAGGAATCTCCTCCTTAAATTTACCTACAGCACTGTCAGATAGACATCTGCTGTAGGAAGTTTTGCCTAATGGCTTATAATCTAATAGTATGAATTCAAAAGTTACTAAATAATGGTCAGATAGGAAAGGATTATGTGGGAAGACTATTAAATGTTAAATGTTAGAGGACAGAGACCTGATATTTAACAGCCCACATTTCATTCTCTTATTTTGTGCTACTGAGGAGTTGGTTTTAATTTTTATTAGATTTTTATGTTGAACTCCTCTTGTTTTTATTTCTTTAAATAATAATAATTATTATTATTATTATTATTATTATCAATGAAGCCCACATTGTTTTCTGGACACCACCTCGACAGCCAGCGGTGGAATGACGACATGCGGCTATACATGTCATCACTGGTCACATTGGGCAGGGGTCCAGAGAAAACTACGGAGTCCAACATTGTTTTAGCATAATTACACACCGACTCCACATTAATCTTAGTGACCTCCGTTTGGCGTAAACGGGTGTCATTCCCGCCGACGTGGATAACAATCTTACTGTATTTACGTTTATCTTTAGCCAGCAGTTTTAAATTTGATTCAATGTCGTCCGCTCTGTCCCCAGGGATACATTTAACTATGGCCGCTGGCTTCATTAACTTCACGTTTCTGACTATGGAGCTGCCAATAACCAGAGTTGGTTACTCAGCGGGTGTATCGCTGAGTGGGGAAAATGTATTAGAAACATGAATGGGTTGGTGGTGACCTGTGGGCTTCGCCGTTTTAGTCTTCCTTCGCTCAGTCACCCAGCCTCCCTGTCTTCCCGGCTGCTCGAGAACTACCGGAGGAACTACCGGGGGAACTACCGGGGGAACTACAGATGTAACAGAAGCTACCTTCGGTCGGACCGCACCGGCTACTGGGGGCTGGCTAACTATAGCGGCTAAAGATATCTCCGTGGTGCGGTACCGTTCCTCTAACTCACTAAGCCTCGCCTCCAGCCTAGTAAATAAACTACACTTAAAACAGGTACGATTATCATTAAAGGAGGCAGAGGAATAGCTAAACATCTGACACACTGAGCAGGACAGAGGAGAGGAAGAGGGAGAAGCCATAGCTTACTGCTAATGCTAATGAAGCTAGCGTGTATGAAAAAACTTTGAAAGCAGTGAAAAGTCGCTAAAAGAAGGAGAAACTCCGAGTGTTTAGGTAGAACTAGTCTACGTTTAAATGTTAAGCGGGAAAATAACCGCTGTAACGAGTAAAACAAATTTAGATTTAGCGTTCACTGACAGAGCTACAGCACCAAACAGTGTACACAGAGCAGGAAGTAAACTGGAAATGAGTCTGTACGCTTACCGTAGCACGTTACAGAATCAGGGTCATCAGAACTATAAATGTGTGTGTTTGTATGTGCAGGACTGTGTGCACGGGGCTAACTGTGTGACGTTCGTCTGTCCACTGGTCAACATGAACAACTCAGCAACTCTCACTGTCAGAGCCAGACTGTGGAACTCCACCATGATCGAGGTACAAACACTTTCAACATTTTTTAAATGATTTCTGCAACCCATACATTTAATGATTCATAATGATACATTGCACCTGTGTGTAACATTTCATACAATTCTACCCATAATATTATAATAATATAATTATATTATTAATATGCTTTTGATACCAGGCAGATGTGAGTGTAGATAAGGGGCATAGGCCGATGCTATAGATACCAAGCAGGTGTCAGTGCTGTAGATACAGGGCATAGACTGATGCTATAGATACAAGGCAGATGCCAGTGCTGTATATACAGGGCATAGACCGATGCTTATGTCAGTGCTGTAGATACAAGGCATAGACTTATGCTATAGATACAAGGCAGGTGTCAGCGCTGTAGATACAGGGCATAGACTGATGCTATAGATACAAGGCAGATGTCAGTGCTGTATATACAGGGCATAGACCGATGCATATGTCAGTGCTGTAGATACAAGGCATAGACTAATGCTATAGATACAAGGCAGGTGTCAGCACTGTAGATACAGGGCATAGACTGATGCTATAGATACAAGGCAGATGTCAGTGCTGTATATACAGGGCATAGACTGATGCATATGTCAGTGCTGTAGATACAAGGCATAGACTAATGCTATAGATACACGGCAGAGGTCATTGCTATACAAACAGGGCATAGACCGGTGCTGTAGATACACGGCAGAGGTCATTCCTGTAGATACGGGGCATAGACTGATGCTATAGATACATGGCAGAGGTCAGTGCTGTAGACACATGGCAGAGGTCGATGCTATAGATACATGGCAGAGGTCAGTGCTGTAGATACAGGGCATAGACCGATGCTATAGATTTGATTAATATTATAGTAACAATAATGATAATATTTACTATTTCAACTATATCAAGTTTTAGTGAAGTCCAATAATTTGACACTAATTGTGTGATTTAGCCCTAATCCATATCTTGTCTTTATTTTGTTTATTATTCTATTCATACAATTCTACTGACAGGGGGCGCTACAATAACAATATACATGTCTTTAATAAGATGAAACTAGGTGCACATTTCTCCATAAGCATGTGCACAACAAATATTTTGGGTTGTATCTTCAGACGTGAATCACAAACTCTTCTGGCTTGGACTCTTTCAGAAGCTGTGGCTGTGAGCAGTGGCAGCAGGTGCAGAAACCACCCACATATACTTAATATTCTAGTTCAACCTGCACATTTCCTGTGTGGTCAAGTCTCAGTTGTTTTTAAGCCAAGGTCTTGCTCATGGTGGGAACTGTTGGGTCTCTGTAAATGTGCTAACTATGAGCTAACGTCACGCTTTGGGCCAGAGGACACTGGAACTACATAGAAGGAGTCCTACATCAGGAATGAATAGACACCCAGCAGCCAGTCAGAACCCAGTATTCACCCAGACCATGGTATAAAAGCTGATAATCAGACCTGTGTTTGTTTTTCTGCCCTCTGGTGGTAAAAGTTCATCTATTACGTCTTTAAATCAGATCTTCCTGCGTGAATTTTAGGACTACAGCGATGCAAGGAGTGTGTTGGTTCGAGGCCAGGCGACTCTGAAGCTTCAGAGTAACAAACCGACCGTCAACATGGAGTATCAAAGCACAGAGGTAGTAACATAAACTGCTGTTAGCGTCCCCTAGAGGCTGCAGTGTTCATTTCAGCTGTAAACGACATAAGCATTATATGCTTTGACCAGTCATGATCAGTGTGTCTGTAGCTTCCTGTGTTTGTCCTCTGCAGATTGAGGTCCACATTTATCCAGACTCAGGCCAGAAGGTGGATTCCAGTGCCCCCCTGTGGATCATTGTGGTGTCTGCCCTTGCAGGAGTCTTACTGCTGGCTCTGATCTGCCTGCTGCTCTGGAAGGTAAACTGAGCTGAGGAGGTCCACAGTCTGATCACTGGATCTAGTTTCAGTGCGATTATTTTTCTGTTGGGCTTTCTTGTCACTATAAAAGCATTCATTTGTAATCAATTTAATTTACCATCATCAAATCCTGGTTGGTAAAGTGCCACTGTGTCGCTCCCTGCTGTTCAGTGTGGTTTCTTCAGGAGAGCCAGAACCAGAGAGCTGTACGAGGCAAAGACCCAGAAAGCCCACATGAAGAGCCAGCCGTCTGAGAACGAGAGGCTGGAAGAGGAGATCTGAGGCTGGGCACACTGCTGCCAGAGAGCCCCGCTGTAAGGACCAGCTGCTGACTGACAGTTTACTGACTGTTTACTGTTAACTGAGTGTTCACTGACTTTTCACTATTTACTGACTGTTTACTGTTTACTGACTGTTCACTAACTGTTTACTGACTGTTCACTGATTGTTTACTGACTGTTCACTGACTGTTTACTGTTTACTGACTGTTCAATAACTGTTTTCTGACTGTTTACTGACTGTTTACTGTTCACTGACTGTTTACTGACTGTTTACTGACTGTTTACTTTTTACTGTTTACTGACTGTTCACTGTTTACTCACTGTTTACTGACTGTTTACTGTTTACTCTTTACTGACTGTTCACTAACTGTTTACTGACTGTTTACTGACTGTTTACTGACTGTTTAGTGTTTACTGACTGTTCACTAACTGTTTACTGACTGTTTACTGTTCACTGACTGTTTACTGTTTACTGACTGTTCACTTTTTACTGTTTACTGACTGTTCACTGTTTACTCACTGTTTACTGACTGTTTACTGTTTACTGACTGTTCACTTTTTACTGTTTACTGACTGTTCACTGTTTACTCACTGTTCACTGACTGTTTACTGTTCACTGACTGTTTACTGACTGTTTACTGACTGTTCACTGTTTACTCACTGTTTACTGACTGTTTACTGTTTACTCTTTACTGACTGTTTACTGACTGTTTACTGTTTACTGACTGTTCACTAACTGTTTACTGACTGTTTACTGTTCACTGACTGTTTACTGTTTACTGACTGTTCACTTTTTACTGTTTACTGACTGTTCACTGTTTACTCACTGTTTACTGACTGTTTACTGTTTACTGACTGTTCACTTTTTACTGTTTACTGACTGTTCACTGTTTACTCACTGTTCACTGACTGTTTACTGTTTACTGACGGACTGTTTTTGTCCTCAGCTGTCAATCAGAGGGGGCAGGGCTTGCTGAACTTTACTTCCTGTTTTCTTTCCAGCTTTTCAGACTCTTCCTTCTTGAGTCATCTGTGTTTGCTTCTATCTGACTGTCCATTATTAGCATTGGTTCATTGATTAATATATTGATCTGTCATTCATATTAGTTAATTGATTGATATATTGTTTTTTTATTAATATTCGTTTACTAATCAATATATCGATAAATACATTACTGTATTCATATTTCTTTATAATACATCTTTTATTGTGAAAATCCACCCTCAAGTTCCTGTTTAACCTGACTTATGGAAGGTTTGATCACAGCGCCATCTGGTGGACATTAGAGGCTAACAATGCTAACATGTTTATCAGGCATAATGTTAGTTTAGCCTGTTAGCATGCTAGTAGCGTGCAGCAACGAAGGCTGAACGTCATTAAACTATCGACCTGCTGATGGCGCTGGATCAATAAAGTTACATCCTTAATACTTTATTACTTCCTGTTTACCTGTCTCCACTTCCTGTTTACATGTCCGCCCGTCTCCACTTCCTGTTTACCTGTCTGCCGTGTGAGACAAACAAGGTTTCTGTCTTCTGTCTTCAGTGCGGCTTCTTTGAGCGTCGGAGGTCGTGGCGGGCCACTGAGCTCCACCAGGGGAGGATTGTGGGTAAAGACAGACAGCAGCAGTATAAGGACGCAGACGGCTTCCTGATCCAAGATCACGCCCCCTCGTCTAGAAACAGGAAGTCCCCCAAACACTGGGTCACTTCCTGGACTGAGACACACTGAGAGACCAAACCTGACTGAACCTGATTGAACCAGACCGAACCTGACCAAACCTGACCGAACCTGATTGAACCAGACCGAACCTGACCAAACCTGACCGAACCTGATTGAACCAGTCCGAACCTGATTAAACCTGGTTGAACCAGCCCAACCTGATTGAACCAGTCCGAACCTGATTGAACCTGATTGAACCTGATTAAACCTGATTGAACCAGTCCAAACCTGATTGAACCTGATTAAACCTGATTGAACCAGTCCGAACCTGATTGAACCTGATTGAACCTGATTAAACCTGATTGAACCAGTCCGAACCTGATTAAACCTGATTGAACCAGTCCGAACCTGATTGAACCTGATTGAACCTGATTAAACCTGATTGAACCAGTCCGAACCTGATTGAACCAGTCCGAACCTGACTGAACCTGATTGAACCTGATTAAACCTGATTGAACCAGTCCGAACCTGATTGAACCTGATTGAACCAGTCCGAACCTGATTGAACCAGTCCGAACCTGACTGAACCTGATTGAACCTGACCGAACCTGACTGAACCTGATTGAACCTGATTGAACCAGTCCGAACCTGATTGAACCTGATTGAACCAGTCTGAACCTGACCGAACCTGACCGAACCTGAATGAACCTGATTCAACCTGATTGAATCAGAATGAACTGGACCGAACCAGACCAAACTGGGCTGAACCAGACAGAACCAGACAGAACCAGACCGAACCTGACCGAACCTGACCGAAACAGACCGAACCGGAACAAACCGGGCTGAACCAGACAGAACCAGACCAACACACTGCCATCCACCTGCTGGGACTGTCTGTGTGTGTGTGTGTGTGTGTGTGTGTGTGTAAACAACAACAACAGATTGATTTGTTTATTATTTATCTGTATTTGTAATATTGTGTGTTTATTGTGTGACTCGCTGTGAGTGTGTTTGAACTGCATTTCCCAGCATCCTCTTGGCGATCAGATATAAAGAAATGAATGTAGATGTTTGGACAGTGTTCGTATAAATCAATCACAGACTGATCATTGATTTGGGAATTGATTAGCAGGAAGTGATTTGTAGTTAAAGGGCTGAGTGAAGAAAAAATTGTGGTCTGCTCCTTTAAGATGGAAGCAGAGGTCACATGGCCGCAGAGGTCAGTGAAAGCTTTATTGTGATGTTGTTTCCGTGCTGCCTTCAATGGCTCCTCGTTAAAACTTGTGGGTGTTGCGTTCAGGTGCTGAAGGATCCTGTAAAGATGCTTCTTGTTGTAGTTTTAGGAATCAGCACAGCTACTTCTACTGCCCTTTTTTCTAAGTGTTTTATATAGTTGTGATATTTCTGACAGCACTTGAAAGCATCACCTGTGTGTGTAACATGTTCAGTGTCAGGGATGCGTTCAGTGTCACTGTGAATGTCTGCCGCTGATATTAAAGTATTTTTTATACACTCTGCCTGATGCTTTCAGGGTCACTCTGTTATGTCTGTGAATCAGAGCGGTTGTGTAACCACATTTAAACACACAGCCACTAGGGGGCCTCTCAAAGAGGAATATAGAGTTTATACACTGTTTAATGATTATAGATTATTGATTGAATCAGCTCCATATAGAACATAGCTCTAGAGTTTATACACTGTTTCTTACATTCAAGAGTAGGCTTAAGACGTTCCTCTTTGATAAAGCTTCTTCCCCGGAGTTCTTGTGCTTTCTTGTCTCGCAGGTTCTCATGGATCCTGGTGGAGCCTCCTGCCATGGTCCTGCTTGACTACGATTGCTAATATCACTGATATTAGTGTTATTGTGCAATAAAGTATTGAATCTTGAATTATTATTATAAGTATTATTATAGCTAGTTAGTTGTTGCTGTTGTCACTGCTCATTGTCCCCCATCGTTGCTGTTGTCATGTTCATCATCATCAGTCACTACTATTAGTGTAGTTGTTGCTACTGTTGTTGCTGTGCACCTGTCTGTCTGTCTGTCTGTCTGTCTCTCTCTCTCTTTCACCCCAACTGGTCGAGACAGACGACCACCCACCTAGAGCCGGAGGATCTGTCCTAGGTTTCTGCCTTTTAACAGGCAGTTTTTCCTTGCCCTTGTCTCCAGGGTCTTGCTCATGGTGGTACTGTTGGGTCTCTGTAAATAATGTTATTAGGAGTTCGGTCTACACCTGCTCTATTTGGAAAGTGTCCTGAGATAACGTTCTCATTCTAACCACACTTTAGTTTCTCTCACTGAAGAAGTGACAGTTATCAGTTACTTTCCTCACATGAAACACTCAAATCAGCATAAATTAGATCCACAGGGTGTCGCTAATAAAGCTGATTCACCTTTTTCGTCCTATTATTACTTTTACTTTATCTACTTTTCTCAGAGAAATTCTCATTAAAATACATTTTGCCAAATCAACTGGGTCTCTGTAGACCTCGATTGGTCTGTGGAGCTCTGAACCTGCAGTTGGGGTTTGTGGCCGTCTCCATGTTGGTGTTTAGTAGCCAGCAGAGGTCACGTACAGCGAGTTGAGCTGGACGGACTCACTGATGGACCAGCTGTCAATCACAAGGTAGCCCCGCCCTAAAGCATACCCTGCTTTATGGTCTGTTTTAGTTTGTTCTTGTCCTCTGAGGGAACCACATTGTAATCTACAGATATTGTGCCCCCCCCCCCATTTACAGTCCAGGAACTTTAGACTGGCTGACGATTCAAGAGGAACAGGTCCTAGAGAACAGTTCCCAGAGAACAGGTCCACTGTTGTACTTTTACTACTGCATAAGAGTTAAATCTAAAATCAGTGATCACATGAGAACGAGAGTTATTGAGCATTAATCAGTTTATTATTGGTTTTGGTTTAATGATGATGCCCAGCCGGTTGCTGAGCGCCTCCCGCCAGATGCTGAGCACCTCCTGCCGGTTGCTGAGCGCCTCCTGCCGGTTGCTGAGCACCTCCTCCAGCAGCTCCTCCTGTGTTTATGTTGCTCATCACCAGCTCCACCACCTTCTCCCCTCCAGAAGGAGCTAACCTCAGACTGCCCCCCACCACCAGGTAGCCCTGCACACACACAGGGAGAATCAGGTACTGTTAGTGTACTGTTGTAGTAGTAACGGAAGAAAGTTGGGGGCAGTATCTTGCTCAAGGACACTTCGATATGCAGTGAGAGGAGCCGGGGATTGACCAGCCAACATAACAGGTAGTATTACTGTAGTAGTAACAGGTTGTATTGCTGTAGTAGTAACAGGTAGTATTACTGTAATAATAATAATAATAATAATAATAATAATAACAATACATTTTATTTGTAAAGCACTTTTCATAAAATAATCTCAAAGTGCTACAGAAACCAAGAAACAAAATCAGCAACCAAGAATAATTCAAGTGATAAAATACATTAAGAAAAAAAAAAAAAAAGTCTAAGGACAACTTAGGAATGCCTGCCTGAACAAGAAAGTTTTAAGCCCCATTTTAAAAGTGTTCACAAACTGGGGTTTTCGCAGATGTTCAGGGAGGGAGTTCCCATGGTGCGGAGTCTTGAGAGGGGCTGATGGAGGAGGTTTGTGCTTTGGGACCGGAGGTTACGGGTGGATGAGTGAGGGGTAAGGAGGTCTTTGAGGTATTGCGGGGCGTTGCTGTAGATGCAAAGGTGGGTGATTAGGGCGATCTTGTATTGGATTCTTGAGGTTATGGGGAGCCAGTGGAAGTTCTGAAGAATAGGGGTGATGTGGTCGTATTTACGGGTTTTCATCAGAGTTCGGGCAGCACAGTTCTGAATGAATTGAAGTTTCTGAAGGTGTTTATTGGGTATACCGATGAGTAGGCTGTTACAGTAATCAAGCCTGGAGGAGATTAAGGCGTGGACGAGTTTTTCTGCGTCAGAGAAAGTGAGGAAGGGGCGGAGTTTTGAAATGTTCTTGATATGGAAAAAGCAGGTTTTGTAAAGATGTTTGATGTGGTTTGCAAAGGTCAGTTGTGGGTCCCGTTTCACACCGAGGTTGGTAACTGTGGTTGAGAGGGGGATGTCTTGACTGGAAAAGGAGATGGAGGTTATGAGTGATGACTGGACCTGATGAGGGGTGCCAATTTGTATGGCTTCAGTTTTAGAGCTGTTCAGCTGGAGGAAGTTGTGACTCATCCACGCCCTAATCTCCTCCAGGCAGTTGGAGAGGGCTAGAGATGATGGTGAATAGGGAGCAGATGATGACGAGGGAGCAGGTGATGATGAAGAGACCGGGGTAGAGGATAGGTTGGGGTTGGTTCGTAGGTATAACTGAGTGTCATCAGCATAACAGTGAAAAGAGATACCGTGTCGGCTGATGACACGACCCAGTGGCAGCATATATAAGATAAAGAGCAGGGGTCCTAGGATAGATCCTTGGGGGACACCACAAGTGACGGGGGCTGTTTGGGACCTGGCAGATCCCAGGCTGACGTACTCTGTCCTGTCAGTGAGGTATGAGGTGAACCAGTCCAGTGTGGAGTGACGGAGACCAATGTCGGTGTGGAGGCGGCTTAGGAGGATATGATCGACAGTGTCAAAAGCCGCTGAAAGGTCGAGGAGGATGAGCAGGGAGGGGGATCCAGAATCTGCAAAGATGAGAAGGTCATTGGTTACCCTCAATAGTGCTGTCTCTGTACTATGGGCAGTGCGAAAACCAGATTGGAAAATTTCAACAGTGAATGACGTTGAAGATGTTCGTGTAGCTGTGCAGCAACAGCTTTTTCAAGCACCTTGGACAGGAATGGAAGATGGGAGATGGGCCGGTAGTTGGAGAGGCACTCTGGGTCGAGGTTGGGTTTCTTCAGGAGAGGTCATGGATCTCTGCGATAAAGAATGGGTGAGGTTTGGGTGGCCGGTATACCAGTACTGCATTTATCTTGGAGGGGGTTTTGATTTGAAGGCCAGATATTCAAAAGAGGACACATCAGGTAGAGACAGAGGAGACAGCTTGAGAGCATTGCGGTAAATAACTGCCAGGCCACCACCTCGACCAGTGCAGCGAGCCCTCTGCAAGTAACTGTATCCAGGGGGACAAGCTTCATTTAATGATGAAAAGACCTCAGGTTGGTGCCAGGTCTCAGGTCAATGTCTTTCTCAAGAATATGATCATATATCAGGCTTGATTTATTTGACAGGGACTGGGCATTAAAAAGTTAAGTTTTGATGTGGGATTTGTGGTCAGTAGACCTCTGGATGGGACGGAGCAGGCTGGAATCCACTCCTCGCCTTCCATCATACACAGCATGCCGTAGTCTCGCGATGTTGCCGGCGATATTCCTTACCACGGTGGCAGACGAGACGGGACCGGCGTCGGGAGGATGGATGAAAATAAACTTTCTCCGCAAGCTTCCAGCTTTAAGCTGCGCCAGGGTAGCGGGTCCGTTCACTGGAGCAAGCATCGGCGATGGCTCCGAAGACAGGGCAGATCCATCGGCTGCATACAAACCGGGCAGGGGGAGAAAATCCGAGGCCCGACTCAGCCAAGGAGGAGGCTCTCAAGTGAGCTTGAAGTCGGGCAATCATACCGGCGCTTTTCCCACGTCTTCTAGAGCGCTTTCTCTGGGGGGGTGGGCACAACAGCCAGTGTCGGTGTTCGGATCCATAGGATCCGTTGGAGGGAGACTTTTGGTCGCGGTCCCTCCGGGGAGAGACTGTAGGCAGTCGGCGCAGGTGATCAGGGATATCCGCCAGCACCGGTGTTTGCTGGTCGAACAGTGGCTGATCAGATGGCAACAGGGTCTCTGACCAGGCCCTGAGGTCGAGGAGGGTTTGGCGATCATATGCCAGCAGAGCGGATACATATCGGAAGGCAAAAAGTACTAGGAGCAAAACAGACACGACAGCAAAGGAGCGAGGCGGACGGCTTGCCAACACGGGAGCCATCTTGACAAGATGCATCTTGATAAGAGGTTATGGGGAAGAATAGGGGTGATGTGGTCGTATTTACGGGTTTTCATCAGAGTTCGGGCAGCACAGTTCTGAATCAATTGAAGTTTCTGAAGGTGTTTATTGGGTAACCTGTAGTAGGAACAGGTTATATTAATATCCTGAGGTCTGACAAGAGATACAGAAGTATTTGCTGCTATATCAATAACTCGCCCTCCACACTCAGATATAAAAAAGATGTTATTTGTATTATTTATTCAATTCAATTCAATTCAATTTTATTTGTATAGCGCCAATTCATAACAGAAGTTATCTCAGGACACTTTTCAAATAGAGCAGGTCTAGACCGAACTCTTTAAAACATTAATTACAGAGACCCAACAGTACCACCATGAGCAAGCACTTGGCGACAAGGGCAAGGAAAAACTGCCTGTTAAAAGGCAGAAACCTAGGACAGAACCTTCGGCTCTAGGTGGGTGGTCGTCTGTCTCGACCAGTTGGGGAGAGAGAGAGAGAGAGAGAGAGAGAGAGAGAGAGAGAGAGAGAGAGCGCGAGAGACAGACAGACAGGTGCACAGCAACAACAGTATTGGCAATGGCAATCTAGCAGGACCATGGCAGGAGGCTCCACCAGGATCGACAAGAACCTGCGAGACGAGAAAGCACAAGAACTCTGGGGAAGAAGTGAAGTTGGTAACATGCATTAATGGAACATGAATGAGTGCAGAAAGAGAGGAAGGGAGGAGCTCAGTGCACCATGGGAAATCCCCCGATAGTCTAGGCCTATAGCAGCATAACTAAGGGATGGTTCAGGACTCACCTGATCCAGCCCTAACTATAAGCTTTATCAAAGAGGAATGTCTTAAGCCTACTCTTGAATGTGGTGAGGGTGTCTGCCTCCCGAACCACAAATGGAAGCTGGTTCCACAGGAGAGGAGCTTGGTAACTGAAGGCTCTGGCTCCTGTTCTACTTTTAGAGACTATAGGAACCACAAGTAGCCCAGCATTCAGAGAACGTAGTGTTCTAGAGGGGTAATAGGGTACTATGAGCTCTTTAAGATATGAAGGGGCCTGACCATGAAGAGCTTTATAGGTGAGGAGGAGGATTTTAAATTCTATTCTACATTTTACAGGGAGCCAATGCAGAGAAGCTAGTACAGGAGAGATGTGATCTCTTTTTCTAGTTCCTGTCAGTACTCATGCTGCAGCGTTCTGAATTAATTGGAGCGTTTTAATGGACTTATTGGGGCAACCTGAAAATAAAGAGTTGCAGTAATCCAGCCTTGAAGTAACAAATGCATGGATTAGTTTGTCTGCATCTGTCTGTGATAGTATGTGTCTAATTTTTCTAATATTACGTAAATGAAAGAAGGCAGTCCTAGAGGTCTGCTTTATGTGGGAGTTAAATGATAAATCCTGATCAAAGATAACTCCAAGATTCCTGACAGTGGTGCTAGAGGCCAAGTTAATGCCATCTAGAGTAACTATATCTTTAGACAGTGAGTCTCTAAGGTTTTTGGGGCCAAGAACAAGAATTTAGTTTTTTTCTGAGTTTAACATCAGAAAATTGCAGGTCATCCAGGATTTTATGTCCTTAAGACATGTTTGTAATTTAGATAATTGATTATTTTTATCGGGCTTGATTGATAGATATAACTGCGTATCATCTGCATAACAGTGAAAGTTAATGGAGTGATTCCTAATAATGTTGCCTAAAGGGAGCATATATAAAGTAAATAGTATTGGTCCAAGTACAGAACCTTGTGGAACTCCATGACTAACTGTAGTATTTATTGAAGATTCATCGTTAACATGAACAAACTGCGAGCGATCTGATAAATATGACTTAAACCAGCTTAGTGCGGTTCCTTTAATGACAATTTGATGCTCAAGTCTCTGTAAAAGAACAACATGGTCAATGGTGTCAAATGCAGCACTAAGATCTAATAATACAAGTACAGAGACAAGTCCATTGTCAGAAGCAATCAGAAGGTCATTATTAACTTTAACCAGAGCTGTCTCTGTGCTGTGATGAACTCTATTTGAGGATTTTCAATCAGGATTTAAACTATTGTTATGTAGAAATTCACACAACTCTTTGGCGACTACTTTCTCCAGAATCTTAGAGAGGAAGGGGAGGTTAGAAATCGGTCTATAGTTGGCTAAAACCCCTGGGTCAAGAGTGGGCTTTTTAAGAAGGGGTTTAATTACATCTACTTTAAAGGACTGTGGTACATATCCTGATAATAAAGAAAGATTAATCATATCCAGTAAAGAAGTGCCAATTAAGGGAACAACTTCTTTAAGCAGCCTAGTTGGGATCGGGTCTAATAGACAGGTTGATGGCTTCGATGAAGAAATGATTGAAGTTAAGTGATGAAGATCGATAGCAGAAAAACAGTCTAAATATATATCTAAGTTTACATTGACAGAAGTCCCTGAACTTGGAGAGCCACTGATAACTGTTGATGGCAGTTGGTGATTAATTTTCTCTCTAATAGTAATAATTTTATTATAGAAGAAGCTCATGAAGTCATTGCTACTTAAGTTTATGGGGATATGTGGCTCAATAGAGCTGTGACTCTCTGTCAGCCTGGCTACAGTGCTGAAGAGGAACCTAGGGTTGTTCTTATTTTCTTCTATTAGTGCTGAGTAATAGGCTCCTCTGGCATTACGGAGGGCCTTTCTATAAGTTTTAAGATTATCTTGCCAATTTGAGCGATATTCTGATAATTTGGAAGAGCGCCATTTCCTTTCAGATTTCCTAGCTATTTGTTTTAACTGGCGGGTTTGGTGGTTATACCAAGGTGCTAGTCTCCTATGTTTTAATAATTTCCTTTTTATAGGAGCGATAGAGTCTAATGTTGATCGTAGTGAGCCTGTAGCACTATCGACAAGATTATCAATTTCAGAGGGACTAAAGTCGTTATAGGACTCTGTTAAATTCAGACATGGCATTGAATTAAACACTGAAGGAATCTCCTCCTTAAATTTAGCTACAGCACTGTCAGATAGACATCTGCTGTAGGACGTTTTGCCTAATGGCTTATAATCTAATAGTATGAATTAAAAGTTATTAAATAATGGTCAGATAGGAAAGGATTATGCGGGAAGACTATTAAATGTTCAATATCAATGCCATATGATAAAACAAGGTCAAGAGTGTGATTAAAACAATGAGTTGGTTTATTTACACTCTGACAGAAGCCAATTGAGTCTATTAATGATATAAATGCATTACTAAGGCTGTCATTGTCAACATCCACATGAATATTAAAATCACCTACAATAATTACTTTATCTGATTTAAGCACTAAACTTGATAAAAACTCTGAGAATTCAGATATAAAATCAGAGTACGGTCCAGGAGCGCGGTACACTATAACAAATAGAACTGGCTGCAGTGTTTTCCAGTTTGGGTGAGAAAGACTAAGAACAAGGCTTTCAAATGAATTATAATTTAGTTTAGGTTTAGGGTCCATTAAAACGCTCGAATCATATATGGCTGCTACTCCACCTCCTCGGCCAGTGTCTCGAGGAATGTGAGTATTAATATGACTGGGGGGGTGGATTCATTTAGGCTAACATACTCCTCGTGGGACAACCAGGTCTCAGTAAGACAAAGTAAATCAATATCATAATCTGATATTAATTCATTCACTAAAACAGCTTTAGAGGACAGAGACCTGATATTTAACAGTCCACATTTCATTCTCTTATTTTGTGCTACTGAGGAGTCAGTTTTAATTTTTATTAGGTTTTTATGTTGAACTCCTCTTGTTTTTATTTCTTTAAATAATTTAGGTGGTCGGGGGACAGACACAGTCTCTATGGGGTTTTGGGTGGGTGACTGTTCTAAAGAAAGTGCAGAGAAGTGTGTAAGACAGCAGCTCTGCTTCCTGGTCCTAACTCTGGACTGTCAGGTTTTAGAAATAAACTTATAAAATAAACCATATTTCTAGATAAGAGAGCCGCTCCATCCAAAGTGGGATGGATGCCGTCTCTCCTAATCAGACCAGGTTTTCCCCAAAAAGGCTTCCAGTTATCAATGAAGCCCACATCGTTTGCTGGACACCACCTCGACAGCCAGCGGTGGAATGACGTCATGCGGCTATACATGTCATCACTGGTCACATTGGGGAGGGGTCCAGAGAAAACTACGGTGTCCGACATTGTCTTAGCATATTTACACACCGACTCCACATTAATCTTAGTGACCTCCGATTGGCGTAAACGGGTGTCATTACCGCCGACGTGGATAACAATCTTACTGTATTTACATTTATCTTTAGCCAGCAGTTTTAAATTTGATTCAATGTCGCCCGCTCTGGCCCCAGGGATACATTTAACTATGGCCGCTGGCTTCGCTAACTTCACGTTTCTGACTATGGAGCTGCCAATAAGCAGAGTTGGTTCCTCAGCGGGTGTGTCGCTGAGTGGGGAAAATGTATTAGAAACATGAATGGGTTGGTGGTGACCCGTGGGCTTCGCCGTTTTAGTCTTCCTTCGCTCAGTCACCCAACCTCCCTGTCTTCCCGGCTGCTCGGGATCTACCGTAGGATCTACCGGAGGAACTACCGGGGGAACTACCGGAGGAACTACCGGGGGAACTACCGGAGGAACTACCAGGGGAACTACCAGGGGAACTACCGGAGGACGGCTAACAGAAGCTACCTTCGGTCGGACCGCACCGGCTACTGGGGGCTGGCTAACTATAGCAGCTAAAGATATCTCCGTGGTGCGGTACCATTCCTCTAACTCACTAAGCCTCGCCTCCAGCGCAGTAAATAAACTACATTTAATACATGTACCATTATCATTAAAGGAGGCAGAGGAATAACTGAACATCTGACACACTGAGCAGGACAGAGGAGAGGGAGAGGGAGAAGCCATAGCTAACTGCTAATGCTAATGCGTGTATGAAAAACTTTGAAAGTAGTGAAAAGTCGCTAAAAGAAGGAGAAACTCCGAGTGTTTAGGTAGAACTAGTCTACGTTTAAATGTTAAGCGGGAGAATAACCGCTGTAACGAGTAAAACTAATGTATATTTAGCGTTCACTGACAGAGCTACAGCACCAAACAGTGTACACAGAGCAGGAAGTGAACCGGAAATGAGTCAGTACGCTTACCGTAGCACGTCAATAGTCATATTCATTCGTCTTTAGTTGGAACATGAAGACTACAAACTTCTACTAAAATGAGTCTGGGGTTAAAGAACGTAACTTGACGTCTGAGGCTGATACTGGAGTTCATTAAAAATATAAACATGTTTGATCAGAACCATGAAGTATTGTACATGAGTGTATTGATCAGGCAGCAGAGATACAGATACACTGTTTATAGAACAATATAACAGTTTAATGTAAGGAAGCAGACTCACATTCTGATAGACGATGTTTCCCTGAGTGAAGCCCATTCCTTCAGGTAGAGGGATATGTAGTCCTTTATCAAAGAGCCCTGAACACACACACACACACACACACACACACACACACACACACACACTCTGACTTTAATGCCTATATATAATATAATATAATATATTATAATAGAGAGGAGCTCATCATCAGTGTGTCAGTGCTCACCACGCAGGAAGGTTTTCACTTTGGAGGACAGGAACCAATTTAAAGGTTTCACCTGCACACAAACACAGAATACATTATTACACAAACACACACACACACACACACACACACACACACACACACACACACACACACCTCATCCTCTCTCTCTCACACACACACACAGGTTCTTACCATAATGTCTTTGATCATACTTGAGGTAGCGATAGTACAGCTGAAACAATATAGACAAGTTCAGCTTAGCATGACTGCTAATGGGATGTGTGACTGTGTGTGTGTGTGTGTGTGTGTGTGTGTGTGTGTGTGTGTGTGTGTGTGTGTGTGCGCGCGCTTACTCAACGTCGTCTGAAGGGAGGATCAGGTAGTTTTCTTCGACAGCGACCTTCAGAGCAACCGTACAGCTCTGGAGGAGAAAGAATAAGAACAAATACTTTGATTGGAAGACTGGAAGAAAGGTCCCGCCCACCTGCTCGTCTCATTACTGGCAGTTTGTCAGTGGTTGGTCAAAGTCAGTACACCGACAGACTGGTAGTAATGGACAAACTGTGGACAGAAAAATATGCAGCAGATTGTTTTTCTGATCAGTTATTACGGTCACTAGTAAAGACGATCATGAATCAATACAACCACAAATCTATCCGATCATGACTTAATACAATCATGAATCAATATGACCATGAGTCAATACAGTCAGGAATCAATATGATTGCAGATCAATATGATCACGAATCAATACAGCCAGGAATCAATACGATCACAGATCAATACGATCACAAGTTAATACGATCACGAATCAATGTGATCATGGATCAATATGATAACGGATCAATACGATCAGTTAAACAGTTTTCTCACCGCCTCCATTGACAGGACGTCCTGCCCTGCAGACACTTTGCCGCTGACTTTCGGGACTTTGAGAATCACTCCTTTATCTCGAGTGATGCTGATCTCAGGAACCTCGACAACGACCACTTCACTGGACATCGGATTCATCAGGTCAAACGGATGCTGCAACCAAATAATAATCAATAATAATCAATAATGCAGAGGAGGAAACAACATCAGTGATATCACAGTAAAAGGCAGCAATCCTTTCTCCTGAACCATTGGACCTGAACCATCGGCTCAGTCCTAGCTGCTTTAGATCAGAGTTATTGATCCTGGGCCACATACAGGACCAGTAAACCGCTGCATTACAAAGCAGGTTGCAGTGGTTACGACACTGTGCGCATTGTATTGTGTATAAAATCAACACCGTTGTCAGAATACATAAGTTAGTATCACGTTAGCTGGGGAAGCTAACGTTAGCCAACTAACATATCCACTGAGATTTTGCTAGCGATAAATATATAAATAAATATAATAAATATTAAAAGCCTGATTAAAAATGATTCGCAGAGGGAATAATAATAATAATAATTAATAATAATTACCGTAAACACTTGCAGAAATTTCAGAAAACCCCACAAAATCGGCTGCGTCACCTGGTGAGGAGGACAGAGGATCAGTTCCAACACAAATTATTTTATTCCACTGAAATAACTTGAGTGGTCTGGACTTTCACAGTAAAGGTCTGAACTTGTCGAGGCTGTGGTTCATGTTGGTGAATCAGATTAAGGTCTATAAAGGTTCAGGTGGTTCACCTGGTCAGTCTTGCTCATGGCCCCTGCCCTGTGGAGCGATGTGGTGGCGCTGTTCAAGAAGAACTCAGAGATGCCCACATAAGCCATCTGGTCAGTCTGTGTGAAAACTGATTCTTCACCTTTTCTGATTGAATCAGGGTCAACGTTGCTGCCCGGTGTGGACACAAAACCCTGAAACACACACAGATCCGATTATATATATATGTAATACCATACCATATTCACTGTGCAATCTATTGCCCATGTGCAACTGCTGCTGCTAATATTTGTGTTATCTGTTGTTGTGGATTCTTACTGTTTTTTCTCTTGTACATTTATTATTTTCCTACTCTTACTGTTTTTTTATACTTATTTTTGTTTGTTTCTCTATCCACTTTGCTGCTGTAATATTGGAATTTCCCAATTGTGGGACAAATAAAGGAATATCTATCTATATCTACAGAGATATTCATGGCTGTCCAGAGGGAGGAAACAGGAAGTACTGTTTGTGTTTCCTGTAAAAACAGGCAGTAGGGAGAGACTTGTCACTGATATTGATTGGTGTTAACAGCAGCCAATAGCAGCTAGCGCTATGAACTAGCATCAGTGTTGACCTTTCAGTGAACACAGCCAGACCTGGGACCGAACACAATCTCAGAGACCGACCGAATCCAGTATCAAGGTGGTTTTCTTGTTGGGTTTGACTCCTGGCATCCCAGGGCTGAGTCAGTTAGCTTAGCTGCACGGCTGACAGAGCTAACAGCAGTTAGCGGTAACTCTATAAATGACCTCGGTACTGTAAAGTTCTTCCCTGTCAGTCTCGGAGGCTGTGTTCGAACCCGGGCCGGCTGCTGAGCCCGTTTCTGTCGGCAACTACCGACAGATACAGTTAGCAGAAGTTAATTAGCGGTTAGCTACTCTAGCTACAGTTATCTGTCCATCAGGAAACTCTGTAAATCACAGAGAGTTGAAGCTGAGCAGCCGGAGGATGTCAGAGGGAAAACAAGGACATATTTTTTCCATAAAATCTGATCCAGTTTCACCAGAATCATTGAATACAGTTAGAAAGTTCAGCTAACTAACAATTGAATGATTGTAAATTAGCACAAAATGCTAGCAATTTGCTAACAACAGGTAGCAGAATCTGTCTTCCTGTATGTCATGAGTAGACAGAAGAAGTTGAATTAATTGATTGAAACAAGCTGAGGTCAGACAATCAAGCAGCACAGTGTGCGTGATCTACGTGAACAGATTGTTTCTTACTCTGAAAGGAATATCGAGGCTGTTGGCGCTCACTCTCACGTCTCCGCTCACAGAATAATCGATGATGATTTCTTGTCCTCCGGGCACATTCAGCTTCGAGGTCAGCTCGCTGGGCAGATTCATCCTCATGGTTAGCTGGTCTGACATGGAGTTAACTTGAGGAATGAAATTCTTAATAGAAGGACAGATCTGCAGGCAGACAGACAGATGGTGAAAGTGTAGTAAAAATAGTGGCGATAGGAGCAAATTTTGAAGGTGGGATTGAGAGAGACGTCAGATCCAACTGTGGTGAATGTCGGTCGGGACAAACCTGCTCCTGGATGTTTTTCTTGATTAATGTCTTGAAAAGGTCCACCACATCCCTACAAAACAGATCAATCACTGATTAATAAGAGACAATTAGACTGGAATATGACAACCACTGATGATATGTTCCCTCAGGATAATTTCTAATAACGTTATTAATCCAATCACTTTTCCTCTAGCGCCATCACCAGGTTAGGGACCAAATACCAGCGCAGCTGCTGTTTGTTTCTACATATAATCAAATACAAATTAAAGCCCCTGCAGTGCGGTGGTGTTACGGTTATGTGTAGACCACACCTTACAAACATTCACTTGATCAGATGATGATCGTCACACACGACTTACTTCCTGTTTCCAGTAGGGGGCACTATGAGTATGACTGGATACTGACACGTAGATGTGTTCAGGGCCGTGGACAAAGTGCATTGAAGTTACAACGACTTTCTGCCACCACGCCACGGACACGCTGTTCAAGATTCTGATAACTTTTCATCGTGATGATCTTCAGATTACTCTGACACATTAGTTGATGCGATCAATTCTCTGCGAGGAATCTGTTAAAATACAACTCGTGGAAATGGCAAAAATGACACCAAAATTGTACGTTACATTCAACATAAACAACTTCCTGTATGGTTTGGGGTATGGGTCCAGGAGGAACCCCCAAAAACTGTTAAAAGTAAACACTTACATTTGCCAAGTAGCCATCATCAGTGCCTTGTTTTAATCCAATTCAATTCAACTCAATTCAATTCAATTTTATTTGTATAGCGCCAATTCACAACAGAAGTTATCTCAGGACACTTTTCAAATAGAGCAGGTCTAGACCGAACTCCTTATAACATTATTTACAGAGACCCAACAGTACCACCATGAGCAAGCACTTGGCGATGGGGGCAAGGAAAAACTGCCTGTTAAGAGGCAGAAACCTAGGACAGATCCTTCGGCTCTAGGTGGGTGGTCGTGTGCCTCGACCAGTTGGGGTGAGAGAGTGAGAGAGAGAGAGAGAGAGAGAGAGAGAGAGAGAGAGAGAGAGAGAGAGAGAGAGAGAGAGAGAGACCTTTAAAAATAACTTTATTTTGTTATTCTCAAAGATAAATCAAAGTCAGGTGTGCATCACTGAAACAGATAAAACAAACAAACAAACCACAACAAAACAACAAAGTACGCAAACAAAAAAATAAAATAAAATAAAATAAAAACAACAATATCTGACTAATCAAAAAGAGAGCAGCAGCTATCCTGCCCCCCCCCCCACAGAGCACAACACTCCTCCCTCCACCCAGAGCGCTGAGAAAGAGTCCAGATCACCAACATTGTGATGATAAACATGTTCAACTTTGAGACGAGCAGCAACCATCCCCTTCATCACCTCCTCACCCTCAATGCATCCTGAACCCTTCAACTTGTTTTTCCTGAAGATCGAGATAGCGAGTTTAGCCACCGCAAACACAAAGTTCACCAGAATACACACATGCTTTTTCCTCACCAGGTATTTGGGACCATAAATAAACAACTCTAAAGAAAAATTTTCCCCAAAACCTGAAACCCAAGACTCCAACAGCCCCAGCAGACCAGTCAAGCGGGGACACTGGGTGAACAAATGAACCAGGGATTCCTCGTGAGCACAGAACGGACAGCCCACCCCATGACCAGGGTCCAGGTGTGCTATGTGTCTGTTCGTAGCTATTGCACCATGTATGATCCTCCACTGGAGGTCAGCCGCCCGTTTTTCAACAGGCAATTTTTACAAGGACCTCCAACTGCCTGTCGGGGACTTATTCGGGCCAAACACCTCGGTCCACCTCGACAAAGGAGCCCAGATGACACCTTCACACAGAGCTGATACAGCGGCTTCTTCTCCACGGACTCCAACTTCCCAAACCTGGGAGTAACGAAAGTCGAAAAGTCCTACCACTCCCCCACCACAGGAGCAACAGTTAAGGCTGGAAAGCTGTAAGGGCCTCCTGCATCCCATGGTTCATCACTTTTAAAGTTCTTGGCAGGGAATCACAGACCTCCTTTACCAGTCTGTCCAGGTTCCTAGTGGACCTGATGTTCATCCTTTGAGCCAAACCCTCGAGAGACGTCCTTACATCATTTTTGCTCTTATATGCACCAGTCCCTGTCCTCCTTCCTCCACTGGAAGTTAAAGAACTGCAGCTCGAATCCAGTGCTGTCCAGTCCAGAAGAAATCCACCAGATGCTTCTGGACGTCATCGACCAGGCTCCCTGGTCGTGGACCTGGATTGATTGGACGTGCTACGGTAAGCGTACTGACTCACTTCCGGTTTACTTCCTGCTCTGTGTACACTGTTTGGTGCTGTAGCTCTGTCAGTGAACGCTAAATATAAATTAGTTTTACTCTTTACAGCGGTTATTTACCCGCTTAACATTTAAACGTAGACTAGTTCTACTTAAACACTTGGAGTTTCTCCCTCTTTTAGGGACTTTTCACTACTTTCAAAGTTTTTCATACACTCTAGTTTCATTAGCATTAGCAGTTAGCTATGGCTTCTCCCTCTCCCTCTCCTCTGTCCTGCTCAGTGTGTCAGATGTTCAGTTATTCCTCTGCCTCCTTTAAAGATAATGGTACCTGTATTAAGTGTAGTTTATTTACTGCGCTGGAGGCGAGGCTCAGTGAGTTAGAGGAACGGCACCGCACCACGGAGATATCTTTAGCCGCTATAGTTAGCCAGCCCCCAGTAGCCGGTGCGGTCCGACCGAAGGTAGCTTCTGTTAGCTCTGTAGTTCCCCCCGGTAGTTCCCGAGCAGCCGGGAAGACAGGGAGGCTGGGTGACTGAGCGAAGGAAGACTAGAACGGCGAAGCCCACAGGTCACCACCAACCGCTTCACGTTTCTAATACATTTTCCCCACTCAGCGATACACCCGCTGAGGAACCAACTCTGGTTATTGGCAGCTCCATAGTCAGAAACGTGAAGTTAGCGAAGCCAGCGGCCATAGTTAAATGTATCCCTGGGGCCAGAGCGGGCGACATTGAATCAAATTTAAAACTGCTGGCTAAAGATAAACGTAAATACAGTAAGATTGTTATCCACGTCGGCGGTAACGACACCCGTTTACGCCAATCGGAGGTCACTAAGATTAATGTGGAGTCGGTGTGTAACTATGCTAAGACAATGTCGGACACCGTAGTTTTCTCTGGACCCCTCCCCAATGTGACCAGTGATGACATGTATAGCCGCATGTCGTCATTCCACCGCTGGCTGTCGAGGTGGTGTCCAGCAAACGATGTGGGCTTCATTGATAACTGGAAGCCTTTTTGGGGAAAACCTGGTCTGATTAGGAGAGACGGCATCCATCCCACTTTGGATGGAGCGGCTCTCTTATCTAGGAATATGGCGAAGTTTATCTCTAAAACCTGACAGTCCAGAGTTAGGACCAGGAAGCAGAGCTGCTGTCTTACACACTTCTCTGCTCTTTCTTTAGAACAGTCACCCACCCAAAACCCCATAGAGACTGTGTCTGTCCCCCGACCACCTAAACTATTTAAAGAAATAAAAACAAGAGGAGTTCAACATAAAAATCTAATAAAAATTAAAACCAACTCCTCAGTAGCACAAAATAAGAGAATGAAATGTGGGCTGTTAAATATCAGGTCTCTGTCCTCTAAAGCTGTTCTAGTGAATGAATTAATATCAGATTATGATATTGATTTGCTTTGTCTTACTGAGACCTGGTTGTCCCACGAGGAGTATGTTAGCCTAAATGAATCCACCCCCCCAGTCATATTAATACTCACATTCCTCGAGGCACAGGCCGAGGAGGTGGAGTAGCAGCTATATATGATTCGAGCGTTTTAATGGACCCTAAACCTAAACTAAATTATAATTCATTTGAAAGTCTTGTTCTTAGTCTTTCTCACCCAAACTGGAAAACACTGCAGCCAGTTCTATTTGTTATAGTGTACCGCGCTCCTGGACCGTACTCTGATTTTATATCTGAATTTTCAGAGTTTCTATCAAGCTTAGTCCTTAAATCAGATAAAGTAATTATTGTAGGTGATTTTAATATTCATGTGGATGTTGACAATGACAGCCTTAGTAATGCATTTATATCATTGATAGACTCAATTGGCTTCTGTCAGAGTGTAAATAAACCAACTCATTGTTTTAATCACACTCTTGACCTTGTTTTATCATATGGCATTGATATTGAACATTTAATAGTCTTCCCACATAATCCTTTCCTATCTGACCATTATTTAGTAACTTTTGAATTCATACTATTAGATTATAAGCCATTAGGCAAAACTTCCTACAGCAGATGTCTATCTGACAGTGCTGTAGCTAAATTTAAGGAGGAGATTCCTTCAGTGTTTAATTCAATGCCATGTCTGAATTTAACAGAGTCCTATAACAACTTTAGTCCCTCTGAAATTGATAATCTTGTCGATAGTGCTACAGGCTCACTACGATCAACATTAGACTCTATCGCTCCTATAAAAAGGAAATTATTAAAACATAGGAGACTAGCACCTTGGTATAACCACCAAACCCGCCAGTTAAAGCAAATAGCTAGGAAATCTGAAAGGAAATGGCGCTCTTCCAAATTATCAGAATATCGCTCAAATTGGCAAGATGATCTTAAGATTTATAGAAAGGCCCTCCGTAATGCCAGAGGAGCCTATTACTCAGCACTAATAGAAGAAAATAAGAACAACCCTAGGTTCCTCTTCAGCACTGTAGCCAGGCTGACAGAGAGTCACAGCTCTATCGAGCCACATATCCCCATAAACTTAAGTAGCAATGACTTCATGAGCTTCTTCTATAATAAAATTATTACTATTAGAGAAAAAATTAATCACCAACTGCCATCAACAGTTATCAGTGGCTCTCCAAGTTCAGGGACTTCTGTCAATGTAAACTTAGATGTATATTTAGACTGTTTTTCTGCTATCGATCTTCATCAGTTAACTTCAATCATTTCTTCATCGAAGCCATCAACCTGTCTGTTAGACCCGATCCCAACTAGGCTGCTTAAAGAAGTTGTTCCCTTAATTGGCACTTCTTTACTGGATATGATTAATCTTTC